TTAATGGCTTACAAATGATCAGTTGATTCAGAAATGTAATAAATAAGGTATATTCTGTAACTGACAAATTATATAATATTCCTTAACAGTAAATTACTCACCGTTAAATAAACCCAATGATGAAATCATTACTTGAATGAGTTGAGTAGTTTAATTCCCTTGGTTTTTCAAGTACGATTCATTGATAGATGTTGATAAGAACAAGATATAAGTTTTGGAGCTTTCTGTTACCACCTCTAAATATCTCATATCCAAAAGAGCACTTAGAATATTGCTGACATTGAAGAGTCAACAGATATAATGTATAAAGTATCAAGTCTTAGACTATTTAAGTAGGTAAAAGTTTGTTAGTAGAGCTATTGCTGATATCAGAAGTTATTTGGTAGCAATGAAACTAATCCAAGACAAATAGAATAATCTTTCAATGATATTATGCAATTCATTCTTGTTTATTTTGAAATCATATACAAATTAATAGTGACTAAACAGATATTGAAACTAAGGTATATCGAAGAATACTTTCATGTTGTCATGTTTTAAGTAGTATACCCTTCACGATGTTATGTAAGTGTCAAATCCTATACATTAGACTCCACGTAATAATGTACTATACTTTCAGATGATATTTCTATGTACCGACACCTAGTTCCATTATCACTGATAATTTGAAATATTGTGGTCTTTTTTTTATCTCTCACATTGGTACCATATTTTATAGTAATGGCTATTGCGTCCTATAAGTTTACGATAACAATATGATCACTGTTAAATGACTGTTGTTTGCCAAGAAAATTAATTAAATCCAGGAAAACTGTTAAGCATTGAAACTTTGCATTATCAGAATTTTTTCGATTGACAAGAGAGTATGATGCTATTGATTCGAAAAATTACATTTTACAATTTTAAACCTTCAGTATTTTGTGAAAGTACGTTAATATTTAAACTTGTTAACGTTTACTTCCTGTTACAAAGTCTAACATCAGTTAAACAATCGAAGCTTTATGCATTAAAATCCTTGGTTATGTAATGGTGGAGAAGATTTGTAGCTCAGGTGAATGATTTTGATGGAGTTTTATTCCTCTGAGCTGGACGATCAAACCATCCAGCTCAGAGAATAAAACTTTGGTGTCGGTTATTATGTTAAGCCCATATACCTTATTCTCGCTTTCGGACAGCTCAATCTATTCATTTTACTTGAGTCACATTATGACTTTGTTAATTATCCGCTTATCAATCTTCACCGTTTTTATATGAGCCATACGTGTTTGTACACTTCTTATCCCACTACTCATCATATGTCTGTAACCTATTTTTGTGTCACTATAAATATTGATTAACGCTTGGTTAAATGGAGTTGGCTTACCCGCCATCTCCACTGCGTGTCGTTTCTCTCTCTCTATTCCATTTCCTCCATATACAAAATATATGTATTCAAAAGTCCATTCTCGCTATTTGACTTATCTAAATCCGTTACTGACTAACGCTATTAAAGTCGATGATTATATACGAGGATAGGCGACATATATAATTTCAACAACAATCATCACTACGATCTCCTTGGAGTCAGTATCTCGGGCCACTAAAGTGGAGAGCCCTTTCGACAACACCGTTCGATCTAAATGACAACAAAATAAAGGCCCTACCAAACTATCAAAATTCTTCGTTGTTAATTTTCTGCGTTTGACTTATAAAAACCACTTACTGTATCATAGTTTACTGAAAGACACATTATATACATGATTAAGTTGATGTTAAAAGAAGTTAAATAATTACTTACTGAGGTATTAAATGGACCAGTTCCCATGCAAACATTTGTAATTATACCACTGATTGATACATTTGTTGATGAACTTAAAATTATATTTTGGCTTGTACAACACGGATACGCATGCATACACTCTAAATTGCGAGAGAAAAAACAATATACACAATATATGATATGATTTATATTATATTACTTTATATAAACTATCTGGCTTCATTAATAGTTGATTCTTCATTTTAAAACAAATGAAATTTGTAATGGAGGAACAAAGTAGTGAGATCTAATAGTACAGGCCTTTCTGTAATAAAATGTTTAAAATGATGGAAAATTTTTGATATGGAGAGGAATAATTTCATCCATGGGAGTACAAATGACATATAAAATTCACGTTTCTCAATCGTTTGTGACACTTATTTACACGTTAAATAAAATTACTGATGCTAATTAGTAAATATGTAAGTCACATAGTAAGTTATTATCAGGAAGGGGTCTAGTGGAGATTGTAGTAATTTATTAGTTGGATTCATGAATCAATTGATGTTAGACCACTATAGAAAACCTGTATGCACTGGACAGCCGTCTCGTCCTAGTATGGGACTCTCAGAAGTGCGCGTCGAGGACCTTCGATCAATCAATTTATACAAATCTGGCTGTTAATTCGACTGAAAATAACCTATACATTATGTGGTTGTCTTCATAAATTATTATTGATTTATTTTGGGAGTCAAATAAATCTTTATCACCAATCTATGCTTGTTCACTCTAGACCTCTACTGTTGTATTCAATTTGATAAGGCATTTAGTCTGGGGTTATCGTAATCGTTTGAGAAACCCAATCGATAGTTCAGTTATCGCAATTATCATTACTTTTATCGCCCAATACACATAATGTTATCAATTAAAATTGCCTGAAGTCAACTAAATATCTATTCCTTGTATGTTTTGTTGAATAAGATCCGTAAAGTAGATTTGCAAATAGTCTATTCGACCGAAGCCAATCACGAATTAACTAACAGATATATAAACGATGAGTATTCTTCTCAACATATTTTTATCCGGTCACAAATTCAACTGGCACACCAAATATCATTACAAAACTATTAAAGAACACAATACTAATCAATTGAACCAGTCAAGAGTTGAGGATGTTTACATAATGCAAAGTATTTATTACTAAATCGTTTCGTATCATTTTAGATTTCTTTATTAGACCGGTTGTTGTGAATATATGAAATATGCTATGTATCACTAAATCTTCATTGAAACTTCATTAAAAATCTATCTTGTAAATTAAAGTGTTTGAAAGAAATACATTTCGTTACTTATATACATCATGGTTTCTCTCAATCGATTCATTAATATGCTACATTTCATTGAGAATATTAGATTCGATGTGCTGAAAATTCCTTGAAGTGATTCTGTCTTATTTAATTGACAATACAAATAAAACAATTCCTAAATTGTGTATTCAAAGTTGATACAAATATACACTACCAAATCATTCCATATCAATATATATTTTGTAAGTCCAATTGGAACTAGATCATCATGGAAAACCTGGAAGAATTGGACGGCCGTTCGTCCTAGCATGGGACTCCTCAGCAGTGCGTATCCACGACCCCACACCCAGTGAGACCGAACCCAAGAACTACCGTCCCACGCCAGGTGCTTAACCAACCAGACCACTGGGGCGCATCCAACGGTGTTGATGTCTAACTCCGACCAATTAACGAAGTTCGCGGGGTGCAGGATCGTGGATACGCACTGCTGAGGAGTCCCATGCTAGGACGAAACGGCCGTCCAATTCTTCCAGGTTTTCCATGATGATCTAGTTCCAATTGACTTACAAAATATATATTGATACGGAATGATTTGTGTGTATATTTGTATCAACTTTGAAATACACAATTTAGGAATTGTTTTATTTGTATTGTCAATTAAATAAGACAGAATCACTTCAAGGAATTTCAGCACATCGAATCTAATATTCTCAAATGAAATGTAGCATATTAATGAATCGATTGAGAGAAACCATGATGTATATAAGTAACAAAATGTATTTCTTTCAAACACTTTAATTTACAAGATAGATTTTAATGAAGTTTCAATGAAGATTTAGTGATACATAGCATATTTCATATATTCACAACAACCGGTCTAATAAAGAAATCTAAAATGATACGAAAACGATTTAGTAAATAAATACTTTGCATTATGTAAACATCCTCAAACTCTTGACTGGTTCAATTAATTAGTATTGTGTTCTTTAATAGTTTTGTAATGATATTTGTGTGCCAGTTGAATTTGTGACCGGATAAAAATATGTTGAGAAGAATACTCATCGTTTATATATCTGTTAGTTAATTCGTGATTGGCTTCGTCGAATAGACTATTTGCAAATACTTTACGTATCTTATTCAACAAAACATACAAGGAATAGATATGTTAGTTGACTTCAGGCAATTTTAATTGATAACATTATGTGTATTGGCGATAAAAGTAATGATAATTGCGATAACTGAACTATCGATTGGGTTTCTCAAACGATTACGATAACCCCAGACTAAATGCCCTTATCAAATTGAATACAACAGTAGAGGTCTAGAGTGAACAAGCATAGTTGGTGATAAAGATTTATTTGACTCCCAAAATAAATCAATAAATAATTTATGAAGACACCACATAATGTATAGTTTATTTTCAGTCGAATTAACAGCCAGATTTGTATAAATTGAATTGATCGAAGGTCCTCGACGCGCACTTCTGAGGAGTCCCATACTAGAACGAGACGGCTGTCCAGTGCATACAGGTTTTCTATAGTGGTCTAACATCAATTGATTCATGAATCCAACTAATAAATTACTACAATCTCCACTAGACCCCTTCCTGATAATAACTTACTATGTGACTACATATTTACTAATTAAGCATCAGTAATTTTATTTAACGTGTAAATAAGTGTCACAAACGATTGAGAAACGTGAATTTTATATGTCATTCGTACTCCAATGGATGAAATTATTCCTCTCCATATCAAAAATTTTCCATCATTTAAACATTTTATTACAGAAAGGCACTGTACTATTAGATCTACCACTTTGTTCCTCCATTACAAATTTCAATTGTTTTAAAATGAAGAATCAACTATTAATGGAAGCCAGATAGTTTATATAAAGTAATATAATATAAATCATATCATATATTGTGTATATTGTTTTTTTCTCTCGCAATTTAGAGTGTATGGCATGCGTATCCGGTGTTGTACAAGCCAAAAATATAATTTTAAGTTCATCAACAAATGTATCAATCAGTGGTATAATTACAAATGTTTGCATGGGAACTGGTCCATTTAATACCTCAGTAAGTAATTATTAACTTCTTTTAACATCAACTTAATCATGCATATAGTGTCTTTCAGTAACTATGATACAGTAAGTGGTTTTATAAGTCAAACGCAGAAAAATTAACAACGAAGAATTTTGATAGTTTGTAGGGCCTTTAATTTTGTTGTCATTTAGATCGAACGGTGTTGTCGAAAGGGCTCTCCACTTTAGTGGCCCGAGATCTGACTCCAAGTAGATCGTATTGATGATTGTTGTTGAAATATATATGTCGCCTATCCTCGTATATAATCATCGACTTTAATAGCGTTGGTCAGTAACGGATTTAGATAAGTCAAATAGCGAGAATGGACTTTTGAATACATATATTTTGTATATGAAGGAAATGGAATAGAGAGAAGAGAAACGACACGCAGTGGAATGGCGGGTAAGCCAACTCCCATTTAACCAAGCGTTAATCAATATTTATAGTGACACAAAAATAGGTTACAGACATGTGCTGAGTAGTGGGATAAGAAGTGTACAAACACGTATGGCTCATATAAAAACGGTGAAGATTGATAAGCGGATAATTAACAAAGTCAAAATGTGACTCAAGTAAAATGAATAGATTGAGCTGTCCGAAAGCGAGAATAAGGTATATGGGCTTAACATAATAACGGACACCAAAAGTTTTATTCTCTGAGCTGGATGGTTTGATCGTCCAGCTCAGAGAATAAAACTCCATCAAAATCATTCACCTGAGCTACAAATCTTCTCCACCATTACATAACCAAGGATTTTATGCATAAAGCTTCGATTGTTTAACTGATGTTAGACTTTGTAACAGGAAGTAAACGTTAACAAGTTTAAATATTAACGTACTTTCACAAAATAACTGAAGGTTTTAAAATTGTAAAATGTAATTTTTCGAATCAATAGCATCATACTCTCTTGTCAGACCAAAAAATTCTGGTACTGCAAAGTTTCAATGCTTAACAGTTTCCTGGATTTAATTAATTTCTTGGCAAACAACGGTCATTTAACAGCGTCATATTGTTATCGTAAACTTATAGGACCAATAGCCATTACTATAAAATATGGTACCAATGTGAGATGAAAAAAAGACCACAATATTTCAAATTATCAGTGATAATGGACTAGGTGTCGGTACATGAAATATCATCTGAAAGTATAGTACATTATTACGTGGAGTCTAATGTATAGGATTTGACCTTACATAACATCGTGAAGGTATACTACTTAAAACATGACAACAATGAAAGTATTCTTCGATATACCTTAGTTTTCAATATCTGTTTAGTCACTATTAATTTGTAATATGATTTCAAAATAAACAAGAATGAATTGCATAATATCATTGAAAGATTATTCTATTTGTCTTGGATTAGTTTCATTGCTACCGAATAACTTCTGATATCAGAAATAGCTCTACTAACAAACTTTTACCTACTTAAATAGTCTAAGACTTGATACATTATACATTATATCTGTTGACTCTTCAATGTCAGCAATATTCTAAGTGCTCTTTATTGGATATGAGATATTTAGAGGTGGTAAACAGAAAGCTTCAAAACTTATATCTTGTTCTTATCAACATCTATCAATGAATCGTACTTGAAAAACCAAGGGAATTAAACTACTCAACTCATTCAAGTAATGATTTCATCATTGGGTTTATTTAACGGTGAGTAATTTACTGTTAAGGAATATTATATAGTTTATCAAGTTACAGAATATACCTTATTTATTACATTTCTGAATCAATTGATCATTTTCAAGCCATTAATCAATGATCATTGGTGCCTAGATTTCTTGATATCATCTTCTAATCTAAACCAGATTTTTGGTTGTATATTACATTCTTGTTTTTGAAAGGTCGATTTCTCGACCATTTGTTGCCATAAATAAAGAGCTGTGTTTTTAAAGTCGATGGCAAGTTTTTTCTGTTTCATTGACCTGACTTTTTAGCTTACTCATATCAAACTACAGAAGTTGGTAATGATTAATAAACTAGAATGTATGTTCGTAACTTTGATCTAGTCGACTCAAATGCGTGATTTTAACAAATGCAATAAAGGATATTAACAGTGAAATATAACAGATAACTTTCTTTACAGTCAGTCATTCAAAATAAACTTTGCGTTTAATCATTGTATCGAAAACTTTGAATATCCAGTCTATTTGTGACCTACATTTTACTTGGGACAGGTTGCTGTAAATATTGGGTTTTCTGATAATTTGTTCGATCATCTCATCGTTAGTATGTATAATTCAACTTGTAAAGAACCACTGTTTATCACACTTGAAGTGAATATGTAATTTAGAGTAAATTTTTTTTCGTAAACAAATAACTGCTGGATGATAATTCGTTATCAATTGAAGTACCCATCCTTTCTCATTTATAGTTAATCCCATTACGAATAGTATCCAATAGCCTTTGAGTTTACAATACAATGCCATAGATTACAGACTGATATTTGTAACTCTCATCAACTTTCCTTATATCACAATTTATGCTTTACTGTAGCAAGTGATATAACCGTTTCAGGGAGTGTTCTCTGTGCCAGTAATATGAAAACAAATTATTCCAACATGAAATAGTTGTTCCTGAATGAATCAAGTAAAGATACTTTAGGTTGACCGATTAAAAAATATAATAGGCACACACTCATGATGGATTATAGTCTACGATGAAACGTTTGGATGATATTGCATGAGCTGAATTATATTGACACTGCTTATCAACTAGAACTTCTATTATAATATTGAGTTCAACTTATTTATGCCTGTTACCCATCGTGGAGGAGTATAGGCTGCTCACTAGGATTCTCCATTGAACTCTGTCCTGGGCAATATTGAGTTCAAGCAAGTGAGAAATCTTAGTATTCTTCTTTTTCATTTGAATGTTTCTTTTTTCAGTGTGAAATGTTTGCGAATGGACTTTTGTCAAATATCTTTTATACAATCCAGGAAGTGATACCATATGATTTGTGTGCTGTAAGTCGATTCAGGATTCCTTTCACTTGAATATTATTACTTTTTATTATTGTTTTTACTAATTAGACTGTATTTGGAAGATTTCCTGTTTGTATGAAGTTGACAAAATGATTACTAAAATAAAATTTAAGTTGTCATATAATCCTCTATAGTGAGTTTCAGATTATTGAACATGAAATTAACTTGACAAGCTGCACGACTAAACTACAGAATGTATCATCTTTCAACCCTAGTCATACTCTTTATAAAAACCGAAAACACGGTTAACTACGGTTATCTTGAATAATTAGTTATATAGTCTATTAATCTGATTGCTATCTGATTGAAATAAACCAGAAATATATGTAAAACGTGAATAGTTACCCTATAAAGACTCATTCAACCGATGAGCGATTCACTTAGTTGTTTATATAACAACTGTCAGATTGATTATTTTAGGTTCAATTTCGATTCGGGGTTTCTTTCAATATCACTCATTATTTTTGGGTAAACGACAACAGGTTATTTGTATAGATATGTCATACACATAGTTCTACTAACCATTTTAAAGATAGTAAGAACAAAGGTATATATATGTGACTGGGTATTTTAATAATCAGTTTACGAATGAGTTTATGTAAAGCTGGTAGATAACTTGTTGGGAAAAAGTGTGTTTATTTTGAGATAGCATTATAATCAAACACTTTGTAAGAGGATAGACCAAGAGCAATGAAATGTACCTCTATATACTAATGGAAAGAAATTGACGATAATTAACAATTTACAAGAGCAAATTCAAGATAGTCTGAGAGTAGAAATCAGAAACATAATGATTAAGTACTAAGTACAAAATGAATTGATAGGAAATGTCAGTATGCCTCCCATTGAAAGAAGACTAAAAATAATTTTATTCAGCTTCACACAGTACAAAAATACTTGAAAGTTTTGTTATGAAATTATAGGGAGTAAAATGATTTACGAAGACAAATCTATCCTCATATGAGAATCCTAGACAGAAATCACAGTAGTCGGCTAACAAAAGTTCTGATTTACAAGTAGGAACTTTGGAGCTAATTGTGTTTTTAACGAGTATAAAAGTCCAATGTTCCCATTAAATGATTATTATACCACATAGTTACGCTTATTTGTACTTCATTATCGAATCAGTAAAGCCATTACCACAATACGAGATTTTTGATGATTCTATGATATTCTAGATGTTGGTTTAATTTTACTTTGTTGATATAATGCGGCAACTTGTACAGATCAACTTTCGAGTCAAACCCTAACCTAGTTATCACTGGCTTCATGGGATATGAAATTAAGTGCGCTTACGTTTGAAATGATTCAACTCCAAACAAGATAATTATAAAGAACTCTCATTTTCAATAATTCGTCAGCTGACATCAGTTCATAATGAAGGATTGTCTGTCAAAATATGCTATTGAATAGCTTGAAAACCAATCAAAATTATTCTAATTTTGTTGAAAATAGTGTAAAATTAGAAATTTCGGACTTTCAATAATTGATCACACCTTAAGACTCCGTGATATCGAACTTTACTTAGTATAAAATGAATAAAGATTACACAAGCTATCTGATACACCTAACAGGCATAAATCAGCCAGTAATATTATCTTGGATTCAATGTAGTGAAACCATTAAAGTGACTAATTTGATGACTGGATGCATTCTAATATTTAGTTAATTGAACAGATATGTATTGTACATTCAACAACTGTTTAGTTAAAAGTTAACATTGAAAATCGTTAAATTCCCTCTGTTTACTTTTCACTTATTTGAATTCTGTTAAGTGAAATGAATTACGTATCTGTTGATGCCACATTGATGTTTACCTCACTGGCTTGAACAATAAACGGAATTTCACCGAAACTTAATGTGTTCACATTTCGCAATTATCATTTTCATTAAGTTACATAACTTAACTAAGTTTGCTTTTTTCAAGCAAATAAATGTTAGAGATGATCACGGTAATTTACTGAAAGAGGTAGTATAAATCTCTCTGATGTTGTAATCAGGTCTTAATCGAAACATAAAGTTATTCACAAGTCATGAAATACGTGCATTTTATCTACTGGGATTAGTTGTCGAACTCTAATCATACATTAATAACTTAACTCAGTTTGTTTTCTATAGTTTTAACTTGAAAATGTGTTATTATTAATTTATCGATACGAGGGTCATGGAAGTTGCTGAGAGTTATTGAGATCACGAACCGGTCTAAGTTAGACAATTATTGAACATCCGAAAGTACTTGACAGCTTCTTATCCTCGTATGGGGCTCCTCATCAGAGCTCATCTACCACCTCGCCCTTAAGGACTCAACCCAGGATCTTCTACATTAGGCCAAAACCCCATACTAATCATCATCATGTGCTCATCAGTGACTGGCTTCGAGAGGAAATTTCCTGGGTCTTAATGATAGCCCATTACCAGTGGAGTTTAACTGTGTTGACTGTGAAGAAAGTACTCACCAAAGAAAATGGATGATGGTTATGCGATACTAATGACTGACTGAAGTCAAACTTATAGATCATTGAATCCCAGCTCGGTGCCCTGAAGATTTGGCGCTTGTGAGTGAGACAAAAGGCTCCGGGTTCTATATCTTCTGTGGCTGTGAATCCTCAATGGTAAGGGCTTCCATACTAGAACGAAACATCTGTCCAGTGCTCCCAGATTTTCAGTAGTTGTATAGCTCATATTGATTAGTGATCTCAACAAAACAACATTAATAAATTCATTGAGTGACTAAATATTAAATGATTGATTGTTTTTCAGACATTCGATTTTTGTGATTACCCACCTGAGATATCTGGTGAGTTTATAATATTTTGTGTAACATTTAGGCAGCCTATAAATTTACCGTAATTTCTGTTTATATTTATGAGTCTTGTGATTTGATGCTATAAAATATCGTATCATGATGATTAAAACAAGAAATCATGCTTTATCATAAGACTGGAGTAAACTTGCTTACTATCATCTTCTCTTTTATGGCTAGCAGTAAATTTGAAATACATAATTTGTCTTATTTTTTTTCTCATCGGCTGGTTGCATTTAGATTTCATTGTTAATGTTCAAACTGCTACTCGAAACCAGCACTTAGTGTTTCGAACGCCTTGTTCTTTATTAAGCTACAGAGTCTAGATAGCACCAACGTTTTAACGTGCATAAACGTTCGTATTATCAAATTCGAGTCTTCATTTAGTCGGTCTCTATTGGAATCTGTACATGGTAATTGTATACTTTGGAGACAATGCAAGTAGAATAGAGAACGTGACTTTTAGATTTTTGTACGGAATTCAAGTATCATATATGACAATTAGTAAAAATGCATTTATATACTGCGCAAAACATTTAAAATGGCAGCGAAACATTACTCTTTTTTTAACCATATAGTAAAAATGATAATGTCTAACTTATCGAACTCTTTAATATGTTACTTTAGATTGTTCATGAAAAAGGAAGTCGACGTTCAAGAGGAAGAATGTATTTGTAAAATCTCAGCAAATGAATTTCAAGTAAATTCAACGTTTCGCCTAGCAATCTCGTCCAAGTCTTCTCACGGAAATAATAATCAAACATCAAATTCATCGAATATAAATAAGTACAGTATTCTCCGATTTACTGTATACTGATTAAGTCATCTAATCAACGTTAACAACGTTTGAAGTAGGTTATACATTAGTGTGTAAGAGACATATGGTGTGAAATGAAAAGTGTTAAGATAACAGATTGTGTGTATACGTCGTTGAGAAGAATAAATTTCATTCACTATACATTTGTCTGGTGTCGGTGAATTTTACGAAAATATATTATTATTATTATTATTAATGACTTTATTGAATATTATATTTTGGTACACTTTTCGTTTCACATCACATGTCTCTTACACACTGATGTATAGAACTACTTTGAGCATTGGTAACGTTGATTAGATGACTTATTCAGTATACAGTAAACCGGAGGATCAGATAACTATTTATATTCGATGAATTTGATGTTTGATTATTATTTCCATGAGAAAACTTGGATGAGATTGCCAGACGAAACGTTGAATTTACTTCAAATTCATTTGCTGAGATTTTACATTCTTTCTGTTTAATGTTTGACATTAACTCGGCGCCCAAATATTGTGAAACTATTCGATCAAATTTAGACGAAAGTTCTTATTTGAAAGTCGACATTATTCCTAAAACCTAACCACAAATCCATAATTCTGAAATAAACGTAATTTTAGTGGCATTATATTTTATAGATGGACTAGTCTGATATCACCATTCATATTTTTGTGTGAAATTTTTACTTTATAGATGATATCAGTTCGTGATAAAAATTCAAACGCTAAATACCTAACGCTTACTGGAAACAGCCTGAAAACTATTAAAAATAGATTTGTATCTTTTTAGGGTTTAATGAAATAAACCATCTCTATTTATAAGAACAAGTTTCTCTGTCTTTATTCTTTGGGTTTATACTCTGGTTAACCGGCAGAAGATATTAAAGTATTTAGTAATTATGTAAAATCTGTTTATACTTCGTAATATGGTTATTTCTTTTTCCAAAAACCATCCACTTATAAACGCTTTTTGCTGATTGACTAGAAACTAGTTGAAAATTTGTTGTAGTTGCTTTAAATTTGTCACTGTACAATACTGTCACCCTTCTATAATGATCATATACACAAGTTTTACTAAGCCTCTGAATATTTGATTAGCTTAATTTTCTATAAACTAATAAAAATAATGATGATAAGACATACTGAAGAGTTTCTAAACAATCTTGAGGTATCCATTCAAAATTCATATACGATAACAAAAGTTGATTAAATGTAAGCAAAGACGGATAGTGGCTAGCAGTGGAATCCAGGACGCACGTTTTGTTTTATCTGAGAATCGTCAGATGGACGTATCTGTATCCCAGAATAAATATTCACTCTGGGATTCGAACCCAGTACCATTCGCTTCAAAAACAATCGCGTTACCTACTTAGCTACTGAAGAGATACAAGTAAAACAACACCAAGTGAATTTGATTAAATGTAGTTCTAATTATCAACTTTTTTTTGCATACTGATCAAAAATCCTTTTTCTGTACGGTATTTAGTTTGTGAATATTGCCTCAAATCTGGACTTTCAATCAAATCAATATTATTGTCGGAAACTTTTGTATCCGAGTTATATAATAATACATTAAATATGTGTAATACACAACGCAATCAATCACTCATTGTAAGTTTATACTTGTCAATATTTATATTTGTTTTATTTATTGATTTGATAATGTTTTAAATTATTGATTTTCATATATATTGATTATGAATTATTGATTAAATTTATTCAAATATTTATTTAGCTTAGTTGAAGTATACACGTTTTATTGTTTTACCTAGTTCATTTATTTATTTATTTATTACAATTCATACAATTAAATGTTTACTTTATGTATGATCATTGGGTTTCTTTTTATTAACTGAATAACTGGAAGTCATCTTACCCTAAGTTATGATGAGTTCGTTGAAATTTAACTGTAACAAATCCCAGAAGAACCTAATAGATGTTACTATTAGAAATAATTACTCTTTTAGTTATTGGGTTTTGTTTATTAATTACTACCGACCTGTTGAGCCATCTACATCCGATGTCCACCCAGCAGCCGCACGTCCCAACGCCACCCCACCAGAGAACTCCACTCAGCTCCACCTCTCCGCACCAGACTGTCCCAACTAGCACTTCAGCTCCAGGCCCGCAACGGCGTTCGTAGGACAGCACCCCTCCACTCCTGGTTGGCAGTGGCACCAAATTTAGTGAACGAGAATACCAGTGGGGACAATCCAATGTATTTAACACAAAATTACAGGACTTGTTAATAAAATCTAACAATCATAAACTAAACGCTTAATTTGCAAAATGTTCATCGATTGTCTCAAAATGACTCAGACTTCATTCTTCTTGCAATTTCATACAAATTGCATCCTGTTTCCATTCTTTACTATTCGATCATCTTGTCTCTCTGCTTCCAGAATTTCTGTTTACGACTAACACCATGTACTACTTATGTCAATATAAGTGGCACATATCATACTACTTATCAGATATTCATCTCGGAATCAGATTAAATGATACAATGGTTTTTTTTATTCCATTGTTTCATAGTTAAATAGATTCAATTAGAATTGATTGTCTATAAAATTAGTAATAATAATACATGATCTGGGTTCAGACACAAGAGATAATATATTGTTTCGATTCCGTTGAAATCATGAACCGATCAATGTTAGATCACCATTGAAAACCTGAAAGGACTAGACGGCTGTTTCGTCGCAGTATGGAACTCATAAACGGTGCGCATCCATGATCCCGTACGCGGGATTTGAACCCAGCATCTTCAATCCTGCGTGAGAACGCTTAACCTATAGACCATTGAACCGGTGTCGAACAGTGTTGATGTTTAACGTTAACAAATCCACGATGTCGCGCGACCATCTTGTTTCAGGTTGGTTGCAGGCGGGAATTTATTATTACTCATAAGACAAGAGTCCATAAATTATTAGAGAACTTTTGCAAACATCCAATATCTAGTATATTCCATTGTTTATATTACGGACTGACTGTGATTAGACAACAATGGAAAACCAGAGAGCTTTGGACATCTTGTATGTCTTAGTAAAGGACTACTGTGCAGCATGCACACACGACATCTCTTGCGATTGAATAAAGAATTTTCAATTCTTGTGGAAAAAATCTAAACGTTCAAACCATTAAGTTGGCATCCACAAATCCAGCAGCTATGTAGACATCCATTCCTAAGAAAACAAAGACATCCAAAAAGATTGGGACTAAGAAGGTAATCCGAAACATGATCTGACAGTTCCTGTATAGATGCTGCTACTATGAAGAACGTGAACCAAAATGGCCTTAATTAAATCAATTTGTTTATGCAATAGATCTATACAGTTCGCTATTTATGCCTATTGCTAAATCAATCAACGAACGTCAAATTTAGGACGATGGAAGCATGACATTGTGGAAAATAATCAATACCTTGGATTAAATTTATGTACATTTGACAATAGCTAGCAGGTACAGATATCACATATATTGAAACTCAAACCGACAAACAATAGCCTCAAATGTCATAGTTTGAGTCACTAAATTTCACTGCAGTTTATACATCTTAGTTACTGTTTTCTAGTTCAGGAGAATATCCCTGTATTTGATTCTCAGTAAAATGAAGATAAAGATATACCCATTTGAAATGTTTTGGATATTATATAATCAAACGTTTGGATTTTACTGGGGAATAGTTGCAAATAATGAATTAATTAAGCAAAATTAAAACAATCCAGTGAAAAGAATCATCAATTTAATGATGTCATTTATTAAAACCATATATAATTGTTTATAATTATTTTATACAGTATTTTATAATAATTTTCGTATGGCTGAGGCTTCAGTAAACCTTAGCACATATTCTTTAACACTACAAAGGCCGTGTTAAAACCAATCTTGTGACCTATTTCAACGATGTATTTGACAATAGACGATGATAGATATTTATCATTTACTCTTATTGGGTCATTTGATTTTATTTGTTTCTGTAACCATTTAGGTACATGTTTACACACCTTAATTTGGAGATCACGATTACTGCTTCCTATGTATGTGTGGCAACACTCACAGTGGGATGTGACGCAATTGTTTTTGTATCTTTTAGGTTTCTGGTGAAGCATCGACTTGGTTTCTTCCTTGAGAATAATTTTTTACTGAATAATACGTTTTGTCAATAACTGCTTAAGCTTTTGTTTCAGTAAAAGACTATTTAAATCACCTCTAAACGGCAAGGTGATATAGACAGGCACTTTGTTTGTGCCAAGGCTATAATGGGTCTCACTATACCATGACCTTTCCATCAATTTATAAGTTTTAGAGGATAATCATTTTACATTATTGTTTTATTCAATAACCTAATGTCATCATTAATAGAGTCTTTTGTGCAAAGACGATTAATCTTGTTAAATAGACTCCTTGTTATATAGTTCTGATCATCTTCACCTTCTTATTATACCCTATCAAAATTGATCAAAGGGATTAATTGTTTCAAATTTCACATCTCTCTTCTATATTTAATTTGCATTTTGTCTTTGTTTTATAACACCTCAATCTTTACTGTATTTTACTTTTATTTTTAGTGTGGTCCATTCCTACATGATTTGTTCTTGGCAGTAACATTAAGCTTCAATAAACAATTTCTTATACAACGCCTTTGTCAGGTAATATAACCAGGGTGTATGTGATTTTTAATTAGATATAAATATTGTTTCATTAAATGAAGTTCCATTCAAAAATGAAAAACTAAAACTAAATTGTTTATCAGTATAGGGTTGTGGAGATTGTTGAGTTTTGATTAAGATTATGAATCGATCAATGTTTGACCACCATTGAAAACGCTCAAGCACTGGATGGCCGTTTCGTTCTAGTATGGGACTCCTCAGCGTCCGCAAGCAAGACCAAAGTTCTTGAGTTCAATTCCTCCGTGTGCGAGGTCATGGATACATTTATGAGGAGTCTCATATTAACACGAAACAACCATCCAGTGCTTTCAGGTTTTCCAATGGTGGTCAAAAATTAACTGATTTGTGATCTCAATCAAAAATAATATAATTAAACCGAGATTTAGTGGAATGCTGAGAATAAATGTAACAGCACACTTGAAATCTATTTTGATCCATGTCACATTCCTAACCATAAACTATTACACTGATACTAACAAGGAAGTGTGTATTTATAAACATGAATTATACTGACAGTTCACTTCATAAAATTGTACTATCAATGAATTTTACACTAAACAAGTAGTTTTCACCTAATGGAATAAGTTATTACGGTGTAGTGAACAAGAATACCAGTGGGGGCAATTGAATGTATTTAACACTGAATTACAGGACTTGTTAATAAAATCTAACAATCATAAAATAAATGCTTAATTTGCAAAATGCCCATCAATTGTCTCAAAATGACTCAGACTTCATTGTTCTTGCAATTTCATACAAATTGCATCCTGTTTCCATTCTTTACTGTTCGATCCTCTTGTCTCTCTGCTGTCAGACCCTCTGTTCACGACTAACATCAATATATATATATATATATATATATATATATATATATATATATATATATATATATATATATATATATAACGTCAATATAAGTAGAACACACCTCAACTGTTTCCATGATAAGTTTTATTTTAGGCAGTTAAAATCCATCAAAGTATTTCGAATATTCGATACATCTAATTATCTCTTGGTTATGTAATAATAAATTACCACAGTACAACTATTTATTGATTTTATTATTCAGATTGTGAAGAGTCAATCAGTTAGTAACTTTGTTATAAGATAATTGATTCCTATCGGTGATTGTTATACATTTTAGTTTCTTATAATTTCCTTTTTATAATAAGAACTTTTAAATTATTCAAATCTTTATCTGTTTTGTTTTTGGCTTTATGATAGAATGCTGGATTTTGTTCAAAAGTATAACACTTTCAATATGGATGAATAACATTTCCTAATGTAATCGACTATATATGAAATATTGATTATTTCTGATTACTAAACAAATATACTGTCGAAATGTAAACAACCTTTTTGATAGTAGTATAGTAAATTATTATCAAATTTTACTACATCACTTATATTCAAGTAATTTTATTCTAATTGCTTAAATAATTGTCTTCTAAAATAAACCCTCTTAAATAACTCTAGGAGTTACTTACTAATTATTGATAAATGATTATTATACAGGTTGCTCAATCACTGTGAGTCAATATAAAATTCTTCTGTAACTCAAATACAAATTCATTAAAGAATATAAATTATATAAATACTTAATTCAGGCTTGTTACTATATACCAAACTTACATAAGGATCAAACTTATAACCTAAGAGTTTCTATCAATGACACTGATTTTTAACTTTCAAAGTATATTCATTTTTAAATTTTTCATTAAGTAGTCATGTCTACATTTTAAAATTCACAGAAATCTTTCTTACTCAAAGTCAACAGAAGTTTCGATAATGCAATGAGAAGACGAAGTTTATCAGAATTATGTGATATATTTGCGCAATACATTTTGAACAATCTGATCACACATATACTTGTTAAGAACATTTATATGTGAAAATTAAAAGGTAGAGTAGGGACGAAGATCTTGACTGATACGTTAATGAATAATGGTTATTCTTTGAAGTTCATAAACCGCTGGAAGGGTTACAATACGACTAGACCTATGACGCTACTGGCACCCAAAAAGCGAGTTTATATTACGTTACCATTTAGAGGAGACACAAACAGTCTCATACTGAAACTGAGACTTAAATTAGCTATCAACTGGACATTTTATGCAGCCCAACTTGTCATTTTCGAAAAGACAAGGTCTATGTTTCACCAAAAGCCCGAACAGCACGAAAGTGATTGTGTCACATCCCATTGTGTCTATGAATTTACATGTATGTGTGGAAACACGTACATAGGGAGGAGCAATCGTGATTTGTAATTAAGGGTGGGTGAACACATACCAAAATAGTTGCAGAAACAAATAAATTCCAATGATCAAATAAGATCACATGATAGACAGGCATCATCCTCCATTGCGAAACATTTGATTGAGACGGGTCATATTACCTACTTACTTACGCCTGTTACTCCCAATGGAGCATAGGCCGCTGACCAGCATTCTCCAACCCACTCTGTCCTGGGCCTTCTTTTCTAGTTCCATCCAATTCTTGTTCATTTTTCTCATGTCTATCTCCATTTCTCGGCGTAATGTGTTCTTTGGTCTTCCTCTTTTCCTTTGACCTTGAGGATTCCATGTGAGGGCTTGTCTTGTGACGCAGTTGGGTGCTTTCCTCAATGTGTGTCCTATCCACTTCCAGCGCTTCTTCCTGATTTCTTCCTCCGCTGGGATCTGGTTTGTTCTCTCCCACAGTACGTTGTTGCTAATAGTGTCCGGCCAACGGATCTGAAGTATTTTGCGTAGACAACTGTTAATAAACACCTGTATTTTCTGGATGATGGCTTTCGTAGTTCTCCAGGTTTCTGCCCCATACAGTAGAACTGTCTTGACATTTGTATTGAAAATCCTGACCTTGGTGTTGGTTGACAGTTGCTTTGAGTTCCAGATGTTCCTCAGTTGTAAATATGCTGCTCTTGCTTTGCCGATCCGCGCCTTCACATCTGCATCAGATCCACCCTGTTCATCAATGATGCTGCCCAAATATGTAAAGGTTTTTACATCTTCCAAATCTTCTCCGTCAATTGTGATTGGATTGGTGCATGCTGTGTTGTATCGGAGAATCCTGCTTTTCCCTTTGTGTATATTGAGACCTACTGCTGCTGAGGCTGCTGCCACACTGTTCGTCTTCTCCTGCATCTGTTGTTGCGTTTGGGATAGAAGGGCCAGATCGTCTGCGAAGTCTAGATCATCCAACTGCATCTTAGATGTCCATTGTATCCCGTGCTTCCCTTCAGACGTTGACGTCTTCATGATCCAGTCGATCACCAGGAGAAAGAGAAAGGGTGAGAGTAAGCAACCTTGCCTAACACCGGTCTTCACTTCGAACGACTTTGTCAACTGTCCTCCATGCACGATTTTGCAGTGTAATCCATCATATGAATTCTGTATGATATTGACTATCTTCTGAGGCACGCCGTAGTGTCGAAGAAGTTTCCATAGTGTTGTTCTGTCCACGCTATCAAATGCCTTTTCGTAGTCAATGAAGTTGATGTAGAGTGATGAATTCCATTCAATTGATTGTTCCACAATGATCCGTAGAGTTGCGATTTGGTCTGTACACGATCTATCCTTACGGAATCCTGCCTGTTGGTCACGAAGTTGGGCGTCTACGCAGTCCTTCATCCTGTTTAACAATACCCTGTTGAAGACTTTTCCCGGTATTGAGAGAAGAGTGATGCCCCTGTAGTTATCACACTTGCTGAGATCGCCTTTCTTCGGTATTTTGATCAGAAGTCCTTCTTTCCAGTCTGTTGGTACTTGTTCCTCATCCCAAATCTTATTGAAGAGAATGTGGAGTATCCTTGCAGTTGCCGCTACGTCTGCTTTTAGTGCCTCTGCTGGATGTTGTCCGGTCCTGCTGCTTTGCCACTCTTGATTTGTCTGATGGCCATGCTGATTTCTTCAATTGTTGGTGGGCCAACATTGATTGGGAGGTCCGTGGGTGCTGCTTCGATGTTGGGTGGGTTCAGTGGAGCTGGTCGATTCAAGAGTTCTTTGAAGTGTTCTACCCACCTGTTTTGTTGCTCTTCAATGTTGGTGATTACCTCGCCTTCCTTGCTTTTCACTGGTCGTTCTGGTTTGCGGCGATTTCCAGAGAGTTTCTTTGTCGTGTCATACAATTGTCTCATGTTTCCTTCTCTTGCAGCCTTTTCCGCCGTCGTTGCTAAATCTTCCACATATTTACGTTTGTCGGTTCTGATGCTCCTCTTCACTTGTTTGTTTACTTCTGTGTATTCAGCTTGTGCCTTGGCTTTTTCTGCTCTTGTTCGACTGGTATTGATTGCTGCCTTCTTGTTCCTTCTTTCTTGAATCTTATCCAGTGTATCAACAGTGATCCATTCCTTGTGATGGTGCTTCTTGTGACCCAGGACCTCATGACATGTTGAAGTGATTGCCTCTTTGATCCCCTTCCAGTTGCTCTCCACAGTAGTTCCTTCTCCATTGAGTAGATCATGAAAGGCCTGGAACTTGTTGCTGAGGACTATCTTGAATTTGTTGAGTTTGTTAGTATCCTGAAGAAAGGCCGTATTGAACTTTTGTGATATTGTCCGCCCCGTTGTCCAGTGCTTCTTGAGTTTCAATTTCATCTTGGCGACCAGCAAGTGATGATCTGATGCTATATCAGCTCCTCTCTTGGTTCTCACGTCCTCTATAGTCCTCCTGAACGTTTTGTTGATGCAAATATGGTCGATTTGGTTTTGTGTAGAGTGATCCGGTGAAGTCCATGTGGTTTTGTGTATGCGTTTATGTGGGAATATGGTGCCGCCTATGACCAGCTTATTGAAGGCACATAGATTTGCAAATCTCTCACCATTTTCGTTTCTTTCTCCCAGTCCGTGTCGTCCCATGATGTCTTCATATCCAGTGTTGTCCGTTCCAACCTTGGCGTTGAAATCTCCCATCAGAATGGTCAGGTCCTTTGTTGGGCACTTCTCGACGATTGACTGCAGCCTATTGTAGAATTGATCTTTAGCGTCTTCATTGTAGTCGTTGGTAGGCGCATAGCATTGGATGATGTTCATTGAAATGCCCTCTTTCTTTGTTTTGAACGAGGCTTTGATGATCCTTGGTCCATGAGATTCCCATCCTATAAGTGCATTTTGCGCTTGTTTGGACAGCATCAATGCAACTCCTTGTGTATGTGGTGCATTTTCTTCTTCATGGCCGGAGTATAACAGGAGCTCTCCTGTAGTTAGTCGTTGTTGTCCAACTTGTGTCCAATGTGTTTCACTGATCCCAAGTACCTCTAGGTTGTATCTTCTCATTTCTGCAGCAATTTGGAAGGCTCTCCGGTGTCCCACATTGTACGAACATTCCATGTACCTAAATAAATGGTCGCTCTGGTTGTCAGAAGGGGCATCGGCCTCGTAACTTCCGAAGGAATTCGGCTTTCATCATGAGGCGTCATAATTCTTCTAAATGAAGACCTTCTGACTCCCAGGGCAGAGTTTAAAAGGTTTGAATAATTTTTTCTGGTTAGCGTTTTTTTAGCGAGTTAGTTTTCTACGGGATGGGGACGCTAACCCCATGCCCAACCCTCCTCCTTTATCCGGGCTTGGGACCGGCAGTAGCCCCCGGAGGGACTCCAGGCGGAGTTGACATCAAATCAGCATTTGTAGTGTTATACAAAAGCCTTCAAGGACGTATACTAAGGTTTATTGAAGTCTTGGCTATACGGAAATTGAAACCCCTTTTTGTGTCCAAAAACAATTTGTCCTTACACTTGACCTACCCTGGTAATACTGGTTTATTATCCAGAGTGGTAATCACATTTGTTTTTTGCTGTACTTTAATATTTTTCCTTTGTTATGACTTACCCTTAACCTGTCTAGTTGACCTTTTAATTTTTCATATATAAATGTTCTTAACAAGTATATGTGTGATCAGATTGTTCGAAATGTATTGCGCAAATATATCACATAATTCTGATAAACTACGTCTTTTCATTGCATTATCGAAATTTATCAAAGAGACTAATTGTTTCAAATTTCAGTAGAAGTGATTAATCAGATTTTATACCTGACTCCATAATATTACAGTTACAAATCAATCTATGAATTATTCTAAAAACTGAAGAAAACTAAATTTTGTGTTCAGTCAAATTTATCATTATAAATTCTTGAATTTCAACTTATTCATCATTGATAACGAGCAATTCTTATTTCTTTTATTTCTAATATCAATTATATAAGTCATTGAGAAACTATTAAGGAAAGGAAGGCTATCAGGACACAGTAGCTGAGTAGATAACGAGATGGCTTTTGAAGCGAATGGTACTGGGTTCTAGTCCCACAGTGAACATCGACTCAGATGCAGGTACATCCAGCTGACGAGTCCCAAATAGCACGAAACGCGAGTTCTGGGTTCCACTACTAGCCACTATCCATCATTGCTTACAAAAAGCTTGTAAATTAAGGCAATATCGAGGCATGCGCACAGTATGCACATGTGCCAATAACAGACTAATCAATTGCAGTCTTAAAACTCAATGGGAAGGTACAAGCCAAACAATACCAAGTGGATTAAATACTCTTAGGTTTATAATTATCTTCTATTGATTAGTTATTAATTCAGTAAATCATGATTTAATTTTAATTATCAGAAGGGGTTATGTGGAATTTCACAGATTGAAATCATGAGTCAATTAAAGCTAGACCACTATTGAAAACCTGGAAGCACTGGACGACCGGTTCATCCTAGTATGGGACTCTTCAGTAGTGCGCATCCACGATCAAATCATTTAATTTTATTATAAGCATAAGATAATCAATGAAAAGATTCACTTATTGATTAATTCTCTGGTTAGTGTTATTCTAAATTAGCTATAGAGTATTTGATATGGTATGAAACGTTTAGTTAAAATCTATAACATTAAAGATTTATTTATCATTAAAAGAAAAAATAAATCAGTAACTTTTCACTGTATTCAGTTCATTTAAGATCCACAGTTTCATGCATTGATTGAACTAGATTGTCTATTTTTTATAACATAAATACCAACCCTGAAATAGAAAATATTAAAAAATTAATTTAATACTTTATAGATACAAGATACAGTAATTTCTTCGCATAAAATTTTGATGATGATGATGAAGTTTAATAACCAAGTAAAGGTTTAACCATTCGTTTTTCTACCAAAATGATGTGGGGGGGAATGACATAAGTGCTGAAACTGATATATTAAATACGAATAGAAAAGAATAGTAGTAATTGGTTCCAGGATCCTAATTACTTACTTACTAGATGTGTCTCCTAATATCTCTTTATAAAGTTGTTAACTAGACCTTGACGACAAGGATTTAGCAGGCGGTATACGAAGAAAACTACTTGTATAGGTTCAAGTTTCAGGGTATTATCTCAGCATTTACAAAAATAATGTGAAATATCAAATTAATCTACTCTATACTAAAAAACGAATTGATTTTCAAGTAAGTATCAAGATTATTGATCGAATCCAATCAAAACTGTTTGGTGCCATACAAGTCTGAATTGAACACATAGAAACTTATAACAATGATTGTCATAGACGTTTACATAATCAAATGAAAGTTCCCAACAAAAATGGATTAAGTTATTCACAAACACCTAAGTGAAGATGATGATGATCACTACACACTTACAATGTTTATTTCCATAGAAAAACTTTCTTTATATTAGAAAATGATCATCTTCAATGTATTAGATGATCATGGGATTATATCCTATATGTTACTACACTCACAAAAAATAAGACAATTCATGTCTATACCGCTCGTGATTATTGATTGTTGTAATAGGTAAGTAAAGAGGAATGAAATGATGTGATTGTTCGTGTTTTTAATCATTTTGATTAGGGTTACTTTTCAAAGAAATGAAACCTTCACATCAATATTTCAACAAGAAATATATATTCATTGGTGATTATACTTAAAACAAAACAATAACTTTTAGAAATTAAGATACAACATGTATAACGTCATTGGTTTATTGTTATTTCAAGGAAGATCTCCTGAAGTATTGAAAAATTTCCTTCAATTATTTTTATTCTGAGAATATTAGCTGTCATGAGGAACTGTATATTATCGTATATAATTATTATAAATATCATTCATGATTTTGGTGGAGTTTTGTTCTCTGAGCTGGATGGTTTGGTCCTGGAGCTTTCATATATGGAGAAATTCGAACACTTCACTTCTAGCTGAAGTTTTGCTGATGATGTCGTTCAGAAGAACGATGAAAGCTCCATGGTCAAACCGTCCAGCTCAGAGAACAAAACTCCACCAAAATCATCCACCAGAACTACAAATCTTCTCCACCATCTCAAAATCATTGATGATTATTGTTTGTTTCAGCCTTTGATTTACAGAAAATACTTAATTACTTTCTAATGGGATTTAAGTTTCTTCAGTCAGAAGTTCGTTATATTTCCAAATAAAATTCCCGTAAATCAATCACTAGATTAGTGCAGTATCATCAGTTTTAATGATAACTGACAGATATACTGAATACAGATGACTCTCAAGTAAATAGAAATAATCAAGTTACTTAGAGTTCCCGCATATTTCAGAGTTTAATTCTTGTTCTCAACATTACACATAGAATGTCATATTTAATGTTGAAAGATTTTACTGGTGAGACTATAATTTATGGACGAACCAATTAGATTTACGATACCAAGTCTTGGATTTTGGCGCTTAACTCATTCATCCATTTGGCTAAATAGAATTTTGGCATTTCGTGATCAAAACCGTAAATCTTATGCCTAACCATCAACTGTTAATCATAATTCGAATTCATCACACCGGTTTATAACCATCATTTAGTCCTAGTTAGTAGGTGACATTCTCAAGGTCATTTTAACGTCACTCAAAGGTCGTTCATAAATTATAGTCATACCAAATGTTTTAATCATCTTCTTCTGATTGACTATCTTTAAGGATTTAAATGACAGTGAAAATATATGAAAACACTTTTAAATCTCTTAACAAATCTATTCATTATTTTTTTATTGAGATCATGAAACGATTAATGTTAGACCAGCCTTGGAAACCTGGAAGCACTGGACGGTCGTTTCGTCTTATTGTGGAATTCCTCAGCAGCGTGCATACACTATCCCAACTCGCGGATTCGAACCCAGGGCCTTCGGCCTCGCGCGCGAACGCTTAACCTACTGGACCACTGAGACGGCATCCAATGGTGTCCAACACCAACCAATCCATTCATTATTTGTCAATGATAAAATTGAACAAGATTTAAACTGATTCCTTTCCTATTGGATTGAAATATTTAAGTAGTAATTATAACCAAAATTGGTTTCTAAGAGCAATCGCTTCCTTTTTTTATAAATTTATATAATTTAAAGAAATTTTGATAAATATCTTAATAAAAACTACATACTTCACAAGATACCGATGGATCGATTTGGGCTATAGATTTATTAATTGCTTTAAACATTGTAAATGTGACTAGGGATACACACTACAAAAATATAAAGAAAACATATAAACATTTGAGTTATTATTATTACTGTTAATACTTCTATTCATATTCATACTACTGTAAAAGAAGGAAATGAGTAGAAGGAATATATGTTTATTGTAAGCAGTTACAAAACACTTACACAATACATATATACATGTTTGTATCCTTCGGTGTATACTTCAATCTGAACTGTTTTACCGTCTGATCTTCAAGTATTGTGATGACGCCGTGCTTTGGTTATACTGAAACTCTTCATTCTATCCAACAACTTCAACGCCACGTTTCGCAACATACTACTTACAAGAAATCTTGTGAGTAGCATCTACTACAGTACTAGTAATAATAATATTAGTAGTTCATTTTTTCATTGTTATTTAATCTTCCCAATGATGTTTAGGATAGCATTTGATCAGTCTCATATTGGAATGTGTGGACCCTATGCGGATTACATCGATATTACCTTCAAGTCACTAGCATTATAAGTAAATATAATGGTGGTTAACAGTGGTATGCAGGACGCGCGTTTCTTCTCATTTAGGACTGGTCAGCTGGATGTACCTGCATCCCAAAGTTGATGTTTACCCCGAAACTCGAATGATTACCACATAATTCAATTATCCAGTGCGGTAATAGTCAGTAGAATAAAGTTTTTAATAAACTGTCTATCAAATCATACCAAGTAAATAATAGCTAATACTTTCATTACACTACTTAAAATCAATACTTACTCTTCAGGTTCGTAATGTAGACGAATGGATTTTAAAAATCTAGGTAGTAATCAAATCTTTTGTTTTCATTCATCTTACACAACATATATATCTGTGATATGTGAAATATCTGAAATACTATTAAGCCAAGAGATAATTAACCTTGATATCACATGGAATACTCGACTACATATTTATGTTGTAATGTGATCTTTGCACAACGTCTATTTACTAGTCATTTTATTTTATTAAAATAATAATTTTAATTTGAAATGGCGTGTAAAACTTGTTCAGTAAGAAAGGAAAATTCACAGACTAAAAGTAGGGAACATGAATTACATTTAAACCTTCATTTATCTACTTTGATTTGAGAAACTAATTAGTAGTATAACTAGTCATTGCATAACTAGTGAAACTCAAGTCCAAACACTTGAAATATATGCTTAGTCAATGAGTTATTTACATATTGTTATCGAGATTTGTGATAACTACTATCAATAATTGTTACACCATATATGCTGGGCAGTTCCTAATTTAGTACAGTAGGTAAATATTGCATGAGATCACTTAATACGTATTCAAAACTTCCAAGACATGAAATATATTTAGGTAATGTTCTATTCTCTTTGCTACTTGGTTTAAATGAACAATTATATCAACTCCTACTGCAAGTATAAGTTAAACTTTTCAATCAATCCACTGATGATACAATAGCCTGTATTATATCTTCCTCCATCTATATACTAGAGCTGATTATTTTGTTTGATTCACCTCTTACTGTGTGATTGATTACCGTTTTTTTTGATGAATTAATGGAACAAATTTGTCTATTTATCAAGTGACACTTGTTTGACGTAAATGAAGTGCCTGAAAAACGTTTTGCGTATTCTTGAGCTACCTCAACTTTAGAATTATCATGTTTCCTTAATCACATTCATGTAATCAGTCGTCTGAAAACACCGACATAATCAGTGACATTTCCTACTATTACTAGACTATGTTCATGTACATGTATATGCAGCTGAGGTCACTTTGTTCAATGTATTGGTTGCTCAACTTAGTTTATATATGGTATAGTATTCGCTTTTTTTATAAAGTGGCTCGGTGGTTAAAGCGTTTAACTTTTAGCCACTAATCCCATAATCAAAACTTCTCCATCTATTTCGATCTAGGTATCTGGATGGAATCACTAGACCTCACAATCAGAGAATGGCTGAAAGTCAAAGACATTAATTAATACCTATCAAATAAACCAAGAGATAACTTCATTCACCGTTATGTCTTTCAGTTTGCATAAATTGGATTGATATGATATTATTGCGTTGCCCCGTCAGCGACATAGTCTGCTCCTCGTATGCGCTTTCCAGGTGTGAATATGTGGACTTTCTAGATTATTTTGTTAAAGCTTCAGAGAAACAAAGCTCCGCCTTTAGCTCTTCTAGGGCTACCTCTAGTTCCAAGCCCACAAAAGGAGGAGGGTTGGACGTGGGGTCGACAACCCTATCCCGTAAAATAACCTGCTAAAAAACGCTAAAGAAATTAGACAAATTAAATCATTTGAACTCTCTCCTCCGAGTTGAAGGATCTTCACTCAGAAGTATTATGAGGCCTCATGATGAAAGCCGAGGCTCTTCGGAAGTCACGAGGCCGATATCTCTTTTGACAACCGGAGCAACAATTAATATAGATACATGAAATATCCGGACAATGTGGGAGACCGGGAGGACTATTCGAATAGCTACAAAATGAGGAGATACAACTTGATGGTGCTCGGAATCAGTGAAATACGTCGGACTCAAGCTGGACAGAAAAGGATGAATTCGGGAAGATGTTGCTGTACTCCGGTCATGAAGAGGAAAATATTCCACACACTTAGGGAGTTGTTCTGATACTGTCCAAACAAGCACGAAATGCACTTATAGGATGGGAATCTATGAACCCAGAATCATCAAAGCATTATCCAAAACAAAGAAGGAGGGAATCACAATGAGTGCTATCCAATATTATGCATCCACCAATGATAGCAACAACGACAATAAAGATCAGTTCTATGCAAAGCCCCAATCGATGATAGCGAAGTGTCCAGGAAAAGACCTGATCATCTTGTTGGGAGACCTAAACGACAAAGTTGGAACACACAACACTGGACATGAAGATACCATGGGACAACATGGACTGAGAGAGAGAGAGAAATAAAAATGGTGAGAGATTTGCAAACCTAGGTGCATTCAACAAATTGGTTTTAGCTCGCACAATATTCTCACACAAATGCATACACAAAGCCATATGCATCTCACCGGATCACATAACGGGAACCAGATCGATCATATTTATATCAATAAAAAATTCAATAGGATTATGGAAGATGTGAGAACCAGGAGAGGAGCTGACAGCTTCAGATCACCATCTGGTTGTGGTCAAGATGAAACTGAATCTAAAGAAACACTAAACAGCTGGGAAGACAGTAGTACGAAGGTTCAATACAGCCTTCTTACGAGATACTGTCAAACTCAACGAATTCAAGATAACTCTCAACAACAGGTTCCAAGCCTTACACGATCTACTGTAAGAAGAAACTATGATGGGAGACAACTGAAAAGGGATCAAATAAGAATTAACTTCAACATGTCAAGAGGTATATAAACTCAATAGTATTAAATCGTAAATATCATTTACTTCAAATCTTTGAAATTCTCTGATGCCATCAAACAACACACTTCAATCCTCTTGAAATCTTATCAAGAAAAGATCTATCATTTACATATGGTAAAACATTTAATTTTAAAATAATATTATTAAAATAACAATTCAAAGAAAATTTAATTAATTAACTCAACTGACTTGATCACGAAATGGTCCTATAAATTCACAGATATTAATTAATTTTTCTTGTAAACGTTCAAGTTTAGTATGATCCAGAAACAATGACATGGCGGAATTATAAAATTTCAAACATACTCCACATACTGAAACAGACATATAACAAATAATAATTTACAAAATATGGATTATTGATATAAACAATGAAATGAGTGTTAACAAAGCTTAAAGGAATAAATTTCTCCTAAATACGAATTTAAATGACTGACTAAACTAAACCATCCAACAAGAATTAGATACAAATAAAGTTAATCTTGGTTGGATAATCATGGAAAATCCGGAAATATATGATAGGCGTTTTGTACCTTTATAGGAATCGTCAAAGGTGAGAACTAACGGACATCATATTGTTTTGAAACCGTTGAGTTAGAATCATTTAGTTTTCCAATCCCAACCTCATGGAATTTATGGCAGTGCAACATTATCATTGATTTCCAAAGCGATAAATGTCTTATGTTCATATTTGATATTCTATAGGTTATAGCTTCTCATCAGAATATATGAAGTTCTTCTAAACGTTATCTACTAATTAAAATACGTTTATTATAGAGATTGAAGGCTTGTAACAATTAGCTCACATCATAAACCAGCTTAAGTTAAACAACTATTCAAAAACCCGGAGCATTTTGGACAGTTATTTCATCCCTTGTAAAAGAATCCACTTCAGTACACAATCAAACATATTTGAAATATTTAAATTCATCATAAGAATGATTTCAAGACTTTTGACCAGAAATTCATTTTAATCTACGAAAACTTACCTCGTTCCATCTCTAGGAGTTTCTTAGTTAATATTCACCTTTACCATGTCATTGATGACGTGTGTTTTATTTTTCTACTAGCATGTTTTTCTGTTGTTATAAAATTTAAGATTTAGTGTATTATCGAATCCTTCAGTACATGACTTTTTCTATCCTTCTATCTTGCATCTGGACTAGATGTAAATCTGATAACTCACCTCATTATATAGTGCGTAGAAATCAATCTCTATAATTCTTATATTTATGACACTGTAATTTGAGTACAGATTTTACAAACAGACAACAACAGTTAAAACAACTTGTTGGAATGGATCAAGTGTAAAACTGTATTAATATCCATCAGTTTGTGCACATAGATTTGTTAAACTCAGTCTTTTAGTTATGAAACATAAAGTTCTTGTGTTCCATTTAGCAACTTTCGGTAGATTTCCTTTATTCATAAGTTCGGAATGTCATCATTTTTCATCATTCAGTTTCATGAACACTCGCAATCTATAACTGTTCAAGATAGGAATTCTCTTTGGATTTACTAATACAATCAATCAAGTATTACAATAATCAAATCAGTAAGAAAGTAAGGGATTGAGAAATATCCGTTAACAGATCACTCATGGATCAAAAGTCAGTATACCAAAGAAATCTTTCTCAACTGACAGTAAGATAGATTAATTTAAATATGTAGCATAATTGAGATAGGCAATGTTAGTAGTAAATACAGGCTCAAGTTGTTTCAAATATTTTGCATATTTAGGTATTAAATACTTTCCTAAAATTAACAGTCTTCAAAAACTTTCATTGTGATTTGATTTGTGGATCAATTATGCATACAGGTTATCCAGAATGATCAAGTATGTCATCAGTAATCATCTCAAATCTATTCAGACTTACGCATGTGTAAATGAAAACAAATCGACGGATTATCCAATTTCACAGGATTAGTCATGAACTAAGTTTACTTAGACAACCAATTAAAGATTAAGCTCCCTCCGTGAAGTCTGGAAAGTCTTTGATTTGAGGATGAGGATTTCTGTGAAATCATGTTCTAGAACGAAACAATTGCTTCTTCAGTAGTCTAGCATCAGTCCGTGATGTAAACTACAAAATACAACTGATAATAAGTTACTACCGAATAATAAACAACATTTTCCATTCCAATGTTTATTAATCAACTACTCGTAATCCTTAACAATTACAGTTTAACATGAGATTATCAACTTCAGCAAGTTACACTCAGAATGTAATTTATTACTGATGGATGTTGGATTTCAATTATACAAATATATATATATATCTTCGTATTGATTTAGTACAGTTAATAATGATGATATCAGTATATCAGTAGATATACAGAAATTGAATGAATCACATACTTGGCATATCAATCCAGAGGTAGATAATCAGAACACAACTATTACTACACTAACTGTTTTAAAGTTTTCTTATATTAAATAGTCAAATTATAGCTTTATTAAATACTGATAAAGATCAATGCAAATCTTAAATGAATTCAATCATTGTAAAGTTTCTTTAGTTATAACCATCGTGGGTTTGAGTATAAATGAATGTTAAATCATTTGTCATCTGACTAAAGTAGTAAAACATTTATGTAGATTGTTATGTGACAAATTGTGAAAATAAACAAAATCAAGGGATCTTACTTACTGATTCACATGATCATGTATCTGTTCTCTTATTTACACATATATGTAGATTGATTTATGGTGGATTGATTGATAGATATGAAATGAAAACTATAGTTTTACAGTTGAGTTAAATATAATAGAAAATTATCTACAAACTATGAATAGAATCCATTTCTTCAACGTAGTAAGTATAACCGAGATGCATATGAATATGTACATTAACGGATCATTGTTTTATGACCACTGTCATAGTTCTGTATGAATTCTATCTAACAGGTTGTAATGTGGTCATTAGTCTAAGTGACTCAAAATCGTTTTCACTATCTTTTAATGCTAGATGATCAGAAGCAATCGTCATGAAACACTGATATTAATTTCTGACATAGTCATTTATAAATTCATAAGTAGTTTAATAAACCATTGTTTAAGTCAATCAAATGGCATGATGAAGCTTTAATGTGCGATTAAAGTCTTAAAACAATAGCAATCATTTTAAACATGATGGTTACCTGTAAGAGAATAATTTATTAACGGTATATGCAAATGTGAAATGTATTTAATGTTTGTGGGTGACCGTATGAACAATCACTGTCTTTTTACAACAATGTTAGGATTTTTGTATCGGTTGTTCTGAATATATTGATTGAAAAAACTAAAATTGAATTCAAATATATACGCATTGCATAAGCCAGTGGGTAATTAAACTCAATAGCCCAGTGAATAATGCGTTACTTTCAGAAGGGGTTTTCTGGAGATTGTAGTAATTTCAATGGTTAAGATCATGAGTCAGTTGAAGCTAGACCACCATGGAAAACCTGGAAGCACTGGACGGCCGTTTCGTCCTATTGTGGGACTCCTCACCAGTTCGCATCCACGACCTCGCCCCCTGCGAGGTTCGAACCCAGGACCTACTGGTTTCGCGCGCAAGCACTTAACGACTAGACCACTGAGCCGGCATCCAACGGTGGTAATGTCTAACTTCAACTAATCCACGAAATTGAGCGACACATCCACTATTGTCTTCAACGAGTTACTATCTCACAACTGACCTGGTTGAACTCCACTGTTCATTACTTCTCACTAGAACTCCAGGATATATCTCTTGAAGCCAGTCACTAGTGAGCATATATTGATTAGTATCAGAAGGGGTTTCATGGATGCGCACTGCTGACGTGTCCCACAATAGGACGAAATGGCCATCTAGTGCTTCCAGGTTTTCCATGATGGTCTAGCTTCAATTGGCTCATGATCTCAACTGATGAAAATACGTTAGCTGTTTGAAGCAAAATGCAATTGGTTAAAGTCTCAATGTGAACATCATTACGAGAAGACAAGTATATCTAGATGACCAGAACCAAATAAAACAAAGCCTGCATCATGTATGTTACTATTAACCACATTCCATCTTTTCGTTAAAAACTTGTGACATAATGGCTATATTGAAACAACCTTTACAGAAAAAACACATACGAACTAAGGCTGATTACAATTCAGTCAAGAATACAAACAGCGGGATCATTCAAACTATGACAAGTTAAATTAGATACCATGCTTATTGATATTAACAAATGTTTAGATCATATAGGTATGTGGACTGGTTATTGACATTCAACTACTGGTTTGCAGTTTTGTAAAGCGTCTCACTTCAGTGAAAGCAGTCTTGGTGTATCTGCAAATCACTCAAAAATATGTTATTTAACGTCAAATAAATGAAACTTTACTTGATTACCAGCTTGGATATAAATATATACATACAACCGAAAGAGGTGAATTTTAATCTAAATAAAATACACGCTGTCATAGGCTTTCATTAATGTGGCTTCAAAAATATCTGAAACTTCTATGGAGAATGTCGAAACATAGTTATGACACTTTTTCTAACTAAATTCCACAAATATAGTATTTAAGCTCTCACAAGAAGACGGATGATATCTCGAGGATCCAGATGAATCTTACTAAATAGCTTAAAAATGAAATGAAACGTGTATTACAGAATTCATATTGATTGTAACATCGACTGATTAGTGAGGAGTGATCGATTTCATGTTTATTTGTTCTTTTAGTGCTAATCTAATTCTAACTATCGAGATCATATACGACCGATTGTCTAAGTGAATAGTTATCAATGTGTTCTATGTTTGATATTAAGTGATTGAAAGTAGCCTGAGCCGTCTTGAATCCTATAGAGACCATCAGTTCCTTCAAGGTTATGTAACTGTAATATTTGATGGCTTGTCCATTTAAATAATGAATTATTCAGATCAGATATACCACTGCTGAGAATTCTATATTGTCTAAGGTGGGTTTGAGTTTAACCGGAGGAACTAGTTGCTTTAAAGTTGCATGTACGTCTATATGAACAGCACTAAATATCCTAAAATCTAGGTCAAAAGCTACATACTAAATGCCTTTAACAATTTAACGTTTATATTATTATTTCTTGGGGAAGAAGGTCATGTATATCACTGTGACTAAATAAATTTCAGTTGCAAGACAACGGAAAGTAGAATTAATTTATATTAAAGCACACAATGAGCTTCAAAAATTTTCTATAGAGTTAGACTAGTCTCACATAGACTTATTTTACTATTTAATCAATAAAATGGTGATTTTTTATGAATAAGTCATCATTTAACTGTTCGTTATTGTGATGGAATTTTGTTCTCTGAGCTGGATGATTTGATCGTAAAGCTTTGATCGTTCTTCTGAATGATATGCTGCTGATGTCGTTCAGAAGAACGATGAAAGCTCCATGACCAAACCATCCAGCTCAGAGAACCAAACTCCATCAAAATCATCCTTCTAAGCTACAAATCTTCTCCACCAACTGTACATTAACAATTGATTAATATTGAAGTTATGATAGTTGGAAGTAGCTTATCTGTTGATAAGTTGACAAGAATATTCAATGTTAAATGAAGGTTATTTTAGCTCATTGTTACAATGTATTAAACATTCAGTTTGTTTTAGTTGTTATAAGTTCTCAATATAAACCGCCTTCGATGTATCCTATGTTAGTATAAGGAATATTAGATTGTCCTGATAACTAAAAATATGTCTTGAACACTTTTATACTACAATTTTATTTCGCAGCGATCTATTGAATAACACTCTATCATTTGCAATTGATTGATCAATGAGTGATGACCAATGTCACACATGTCAAATTCTTCTTAGTGCTGGTCAAATTTTGTCAGTCAGTTTTTAATGTGGCCACTTATTTTACTGGTTAGATAACTCGTGTACTATATTCAGATGTATGGTAGTGGTTGAAGGTAACCGATAAGAAAACCCTGGACATGTGTTTCATCTTATATGGCACTCATCATCAAGGTGTACCTGTACTCCTGAAAGAACTGATCCTTCTGGTAGGATTCGACCACTTCACAGTCAGGGGCATTACCACTGATCTATTACAACCGCGAATGACCTTCTGAACAACAAACAGATGAATTTACGATTGACTGACCACTGAGTAGTAATCAGTCCTATGTACTTTATATCTTCCTTATTGTTGATCAGATTATGTCGATCAAGTTAACCTAATAGCTCAATAGTAATGTCTCTGACTATGAAATACGTGTCAAGTGCTCAAATTCTATAAAAAGAATCAGTTCTTCCAAGAATACCAGGATACCTTGATGATAAGTGTCAAATAATATGTAACTTAGATCCAGGGTTTTCTTATCGATTGCCTCTAGCCACCACCTTAAAACATTCGATCATCTCATGTTTATAGAACTTTCTTTTCTTCAAAACATTAAACATTGATTGACAAGTTTACTTTAAGATCTTAAATTACTATTTTTAAATTGATTAAAATAAACCAAATTTAAGTTTCAGATGATTGAAATTTACACCAAAAAATGATCATTATTAGTTTAAATTATTTGTATTAGCTCAAATGATGACGGAAACACAAATGAATTCGACATATGTCAATTAAAAGACCAAATATAATCGTTTAACGAATATTAACTAAATAGAATTAGTAAGCATTTATCATGACGTATCATTAACTGACAAACCAATAAGAAACTGAGGATTGGTAGACAATCATCCTTTTTGTAGTATGGGACTTGAAAGTGAAAACATATAACCCTATCGGGATTCGATCACAAAATTTTCATTTATGAGTCCGCTATCAATCGCTACAAACACATATTTTAATCAGAATGTGAGTTTATGGAGATTGTAGTAATTTTGATAATTGAATTCATGAGTCGATCTAACCTAGAGGTTAAGTGTTCATATGTGAGACCGAAGGTTCTAGGTTCGAGTCCTCTGTTCGGGATCGTGGATACACACTATTGAGGAGTCGCATACTAGGACGAAACGGCTGCACAATGTTTCTAGATTGTCATTGGTTGTCTAACTTAGATCCACTCATGTATTCTTCAGGTCTCTGTGAAACATAGTGATTGATGAAGTTCAGGTGAGACAGCTCAGACACAGTTATCTGTTACAGTCTTTAATTTAATTCATTTACGATCTAGAGATTCTAACGGTGATCAACCAGGTTTCCAAAATGCGAAGATTGGGAAGAGTAAAAGGATATAAACTAACAAAATTGAATCATAATGTAGAAACATCATCAGGATTTATAATAATTGCCCTCGTTAGCTCAGAAAACAACATATGAGGAGAGACCATAATCAAATGCCATTCCATACTTAAATTCCACGTCGCGCTGTTGACCCTAAATTGGTATTTTATCTGTCTGACTTTTACAAAGAACTTAACGTACCAGGACTCTTCCAGTTTACAATTATCATCGATATCACTAGATGACAATTGGATGAAGTAGGAAATGTTGAATAACGAATATTTATTTAGTAATCTACACAAACTATGATCATCAAATGATCTAAAGATTCTAGGCTTGATCCATCTATGAAATCTAATTTTGACTTCAATTAGATTTAACAATTAGTAGTAGCCAGTATAAATTGGATTCATTTTAGTTCATAATAATTATTTCATTAAATAAATCATAATTTTCTATGAGAAATTAATCAATGTTATTCAAAATAACCTTTAACTAGTGTTACATCCCAGTACCGATAATGATTAACTGTAATTGAAATGAAACTGATCAAATAACCATTACTTACATTTACCATTAAAGGATTTCGGGTCTTTAGTCTATAAGAAAATAAAAGAGGGGTTAAGAGTGAGAGAGAGAGGGGGGACGAATATTTATTGATAAAAACACAACAAAATATTATTGAACGGTAAATGGAACTACTTTTAAACCTTCTAGATCTAATGAAGTTTTAAACTGATCATTCTATCTGATCTCTAACTGTTTACTTCAAATAAATAAACATTATAACAAGTCATCTATCCCATTAAAATAATTCCTATCAGGCAAGAATAAAGAACATAAAAGAATGCATATACTTTATTTCACATCAATGAAGATCAGTGAAATAATGGCGATGAATATGGCACAATTATAAAACACTAACAACATGTTATTAACAATTCGACTGTTCATCATTAATTTGATAATGTTGCCCCTTTGAAGGGCATATCAATTAAAAGGTTGAAAAGAAGTTGATACTTTGAAAAGTATACAGTTATCCATCTTACACACCTTGGTGACTTTGATTATTTTTTACATTCTGAAGTTATTTTTTTTAATCAGCTTTACTTGTTTTACACTATTGATCTATTATAATATCTGAAAAGTATTTGAATTATAGTACGAACTAGAAATCCCAGAATTAACGCAATTGAATCAAAAACTACGACACAAGAACAAACAAATGTATTGTATTTGGAATTCGAAATCGAGCATTCATCAAGTACAAAGGAATCATTAGTTAATTCAAACACCACATCTATTCAATTACTTTTGACAGTTGTTATTACGTAACTTTTAGTATTGACTGTCATTTACCAGAAAACTATGTTCTTGTTTTGTTTTCTTATTAGTCTTCTCTCAGAATGTTTATGTGTTAACATAAACATTCAACTGTTAGGACATTTTTGTAGTTTTCCCGTATTTATTACCATTTTTTAATATGATATAGGGTATATATATTATTCTCAAATAATAGATCTCATTTGTAGATCTTGTTCATCATATATTGATCTCACTTGGTTTACCAATGTAAAACGAGTAGTATTGGACAGTTTCATGACCTTAGTATGAAACTTCTTAGAAGTGGGAGCTCGCTTTGAGGCTTCAAAGTCTTGGATTCATAACCTCATCAAACTTTAGTCGTCCATTGATAATGTCTCATAAAATAACGAAACAGCTGTCTAGTGTACCATGACTTTCAATGATTTTCAAATGAGATCATTCTGAGATAAATGTAACCTTCATAAAACATCTTCAACTAAATTATCGCTATTGTTTCAACATTGTAAACAGATTGAAAAGTTTTATGAAATGAATGAATTCATACCGCGATTCTAAGTTTGTTGTTCTTACTTTAATTAAAAAAAACATCTACATAGCATAAACGGATTCGGTGTTATTTGTATTGTTTATAGTTTGCAGAATAGAGTTTTAAGAAAAAAGTTGAATCTGTTGTAGGTAAATAAGCATAACAATATGAAAGCATATCAATATGCATTTTATTATTTTAATGTGAAAACGTTCCATACTATACTGAAAGCCAAGATTGATATTGTTATATTCGGACGAGAATAAATGAATGGTAACCGTTAGAAATTATGTTTGGACTAGTATTATACGTAATATTCTTATTGTATGACTATTAAGTGATTATATTCTATGTATGGTCATCTTCCTTTCATTTGACCTAATGACTATTATCATACGATTTATTATTCTTGAGGTATTTTCAATTTACTAGTAATAGTCACTCACAACATAGCGAATTTTGGCTTGATATTGTATAAATGTTATTTTCTATTTTATAGTGTGATGTAGTCTGATTTGTTTGTATATAAATCAAGTATGTTTAAAATATATGCTTGGTATCGAGGAGGCTGAGATTGGCGTTCTGGACTCAACAGGGAGGGCTAAGCGGAAAATAGGACTAGTCGGAGACTCTAGGTTGTCCACACTGATGTATGCATCTTTAGTCTAGTCATATAAGTCATCATGTCTAAATTCATAATCATATTTCATGATAATCGTATAGCTAAGGAAATAACAGATATTTTAAGATAACCGTATTGAATACAGTGAACTTCAGGAGAATATCTACTGGTTGGCTTATATTCAAAATTTACTAACTATCTTTGATTTAGTGTGTATTTAAAAGAAGAACCTTTATTAAAGAATCATTTAGATTAAGTTGACTAATGGTCTAAATAAAAACTGAAGATTAAACCTATAATTCTTTAAGAATATAAACTTTGATCTCAATTCTCGACTAAAATTAAAAACTTCATCTTAAGATCAATAGGCTACCCTTAAATGATCTTAACCATTGAATTTACTATAATATTCACAAAACCCATCTGATATTAATCAACATATGCTCACTAGTGACTGGCTTCAAGAGATATATCCTGGAGTTCTAGTGAGAAGTAGTGACCAGTGGAGTTCAACCAGGTCAATTGTGAGATAGTAACTCACTGATGACAATAGTGGATGTGTCGCTCAATTCGGTGGATTAGTTGAAGTTAGACATTACCACTGATGGATGACGGCCGGCTCAGTGGTCTAGTCGGTTAAGCGCCTGGCGCGAGACTGATAGGTCCTGGATTCAAATCCCACGAGGCGGGGGTGTGGATGCGCACTGGTGAGGAGTCCCACAATAGGACGAAACGGCCTTCCAGTGCTTCCAGGTTTTCCATGGTGGTCTAGCTTCAACTGACTCATGATCTTAACCATTGAAATTACTATAATATCCACAAAACCCATCTGTTTTATATTAGATTAGAAAACTGTCGTAAAAACATTTTTTAGATTAAAATAAAATACTACTTTAATTCTTTCATGTGTTCAGTAGTTATATAATTACCAGCTTTCTAAAAAAAATTCCCTAATAACAAAACTATTTAAATAAATGGATGTTCAAAGTAATTTACGTTACTTGAAGAAATAATAATCTCTGGAAGAACTTCAAAGATATAATACATTGAATTGATTCAAAGACTTGATTTGAAGTCTTAATTGGACAATACTTTTATTTCAATATACATCTATATTTAATTACTATTAAATAGAATAGTGAATTAGATTTAAATTGAATGAGTTGAACTAATTTAGTTCGTATACAAAACGAATCATTGTCTAATTCTGATAATAGAATATATTAAGCAATAAACTGTGTATCATTCAAATGCAATTCTCAATTTGTAAATACGGACAAAGATTTTCACTTATCACAATTAAAAGTCGAGTATTTAAACACTCAAGTTACTACTTCATAATTATTTTATGATTAGTGTCTCATGATCTGGACATTAGTAACCTTGGTATTAATTGCTACTAGCCAGAAAGACGTGCCTTGAATTTTGATGGAACTGTTATTGGTTGTTGGATTCAATTCTTCATCACTCAGTCTAATCTGGGAACATCAGTTCTTGAAAGATTGCAAGTACAGTGTATTGATGAATGCCAAGTAGCATAAAACCTCGATCTGAGGCTTCCTGCTGAATATATACCGCTACCCATCGAAAGTAGTGATTTTTGTAACTAATGTGAGTACATATATTGGAAAAACGTTTTCTAGACTACTTTTGAAATGTTTACAATCGAAGAAACACTGTACCATCTACTAGATCCTTTAATTGATTCAATGACAAATACACCGATAACTTGTGTTTTAGTCTTTTTGAATCTATCAAAATATACAATAGATTATTTGTAAACTATTACAGGCTTCTGCTGAATCATAATTATAGTAACTGAATGCATTTGAATATATGTGCTATACATCTTTTTTTTCCTTGCTATTATGGAAGGAGACAGCATCGATTACTGCTGAAAATATCATGATTAGTTAGAGTAAACATCGAAACAATTGTTTACGATTAGAAGCAATTAGGCTTTTGATTTTGGTATCATATTTCTTTTTTTTACCCTAGAGATTTTGTAGGTGTAATATGGAAATACTATGTAAAACTGTTATCGAGTATGTTAGTCACAGATTAATTCATTTAGGTATATGATATAGGATTCAGTTGTAACAGAACCACGTATTATCATTAAACCTAAGATGGTATGTTATTTTGACGGAGTTTAGTTCTCTGAGCTGGATGGTTTGATCGTGGGGCTTTCTTCGTTCTTCTGAACGGCATGAACTTCTACCTGAAGTTTGTGCTGATGATGTCATTTAGCAGAACGATCCAGTTCAGAGAATAAAACTTCATCAAAATCATCCAGCTGAGCTACAAATCTTCTCCCCTTTCATTATATAATCCCATTCAACAGTACTCTGTATGATTACAATGAATAAATGACTATAAGTTATAATTTAACAGAAATCATTAACATTCCAGTGATGAGACCACTCCTTTTTAACAAATGATTAAAAAGTTTCAGATTTCTTTCCTTCATCTAATTCTAGGCAATAAGGTTCTTTTTTCAGAAAACTGAAAACTGAACAAATCAACTTATTTTCAGGTACATACAACTGGTGAATTGGTCAGTAGCTATTAAAGACTACAATGCATTAGAACAAAATTCATCAACGACTATTGGATTATAATAACTGATATAATTCAGTGAAAATGTAATGTCGTAATTATGTAAAGTAGCGTAACTATACTTATTGAGAAATAGTATTTGTTATAACTTGTGTACTTATCTCCTATTAATATATAACATAATGATACTGACAATTAGAGAACGGTAATTCATTGACCGGATCAATGACGCACAAAACCCATACGAGTAGTCTAGAGACTTTATTTTTCCCGCTTCCTGTCAAGTCCTGCCTGTTAAGTCCAAAACACCAATCTCATCCTCTGCGATGTAAATCACGTATTTCAAGTATTCTGGGTTTAGATACAAACCAAAAAGACCACATCACAACATAAAATAGAAAGTAACATTTGTACAAGACCGATGCAAAAGTGGCTGTGAATGTGGGAGATAGTAATTAATAGACAGGGCATAACTCAAGAACGGTAAATCGAATAATGATAGCTCATAGATCAAAATAAAACTTATAATAAGAGTAACACGAATATGAATAGTTTAGTTACTTAACAATTATACAATGAAAGTATACGTATAGTATTAGTACATAAATGGATCCCAATAGCTACCATTCTCGTCGAGATATGACAGTATTATATAAATACAACTGGGAAACTGTAGAACAACAAAGCTGAAGAAAGGAATGTCACCTCTGACAAATAACTAAGAAAGTTTGTCACTGACATTTATGATACAACTTTAAGTGATACTTAAGAAGTGTTCTTTATTTAAAGGTCATCAAAAAGGAATTTTTTGGTTTTATGTTTACTGCTTTGTAAATACATTCGTCTGTATATCAGGAATTTACTTAAATCTGTCCCTGCGACTATACAATTCTGACTAAATGATATAATGCTATAGGAGATGATGAGTAACTTAAAGATCTATGGTTCGATTTTTATATGATATGACAAAAAGAATCAGTAATTTTATTTAATCTCAACAGATAACCAGACTCAATAGCATCATGTTCTTTAAAAAAATCATCAGTATTGTGGTCTGTTTTACAGTAGCCCTGTGTATCTTTTCACTTACATTTTGTTTATCAGCTAATCACTAAATTTGTGCAAAACTGGTACATAAATAAGTGTATTTGGTTCAGTGTCCTTTTTTTGTACAGAGTCAATAAAACTTTATTGTGCAAGATTTTGTGTTTTTACTTGACATCGTGGGAATTAAACGAATTCCCTTCTCCAAATAACAAGAAGTATATTACATGACCTAACAGAATTTATTCGCTGGAAATAATTTACTTCAAGAAATAGTACCAATTGCATTTATCATTACTGAATAATATTACACCCCTGAATCAAGTCAACGTTGATAATCCAACAAATCGGTACATTAAATGAGACGAACTCATTCATAAATATACATCGAAATCACTACTACTCAAATCTATTATGTATTATTATTCATATGGATTTGTGTTTTGTCGTTGTTGAATATCAGAACTAAAAAAGATCAATCTGTCTTGGTTTATGGACTCCTTCAACATACGTCTGAATGCTACCTACCGTTAAAATTTTCTTTTCTTTCATGAATAATATCTGAGAGTGATTGAGTTGTTGATCTAATTTGAAACTCATCTTCTAAAGTCCTTAATGAAATATGAACAAAAGTAAGATTTTAGTCTTTACAAACATTAATCAACATTAAATTCACTTGGTGTTATTTTTTACTTGTATCTTCTCATTGTTATTTAAGACTGCAGTTGATCAGTCTCGTGTTGGCATATGTACATCCTGTGCGGATTGCCTCGATATATTCTTAAGTCACAAGCTTTTTAATCAAAGATGGATAGTGACTAGTAATGGAATCCAGAATGAGCGTTTTGTCCTATTTGGGGCTCGTCAGCTGGATGTACCTGCTTCACAGAGTTGATGTTCACTTTGGGACTCAAACTCAATACCGTTCGCCTCAAACATTGTCGCGTTTTTCCACTTAACTATTGAGTCTTGATCATCAATATTATACTCCATGAATAACCTGTACGTTTTTTACAACTCATTAAGTGATTGCATAACACATCTAACTTTAAAGTGATCAATACTGGTTTCAAATTTCGGAATGAATATCAGTTATACAATATAAATATATCTATTTGACAAACCCCAAATAAGATGATACCTACTATACCTATTATCTTATCATCAAATAATTTGATTATGAAAATATACAATCAGTAATTCTGATCTATGTAAATAGTAGATTGAAATAAATATACAAAAAAAAAGTAGAGAAAGAAAGAATGATCAGTAGACCTTATTTTTACTTAACTTACCCGAACAATCATTTCATAACTACCATGAATAGTTTCTGTTTTAACTGAATTCATAAGGAAATGAAAGGAAATGTATAATACCAACCAAATATTAATCCAATACATTGTAATAGAATAGTAATAATAATAATAGTATTATTATTGTTGTTGTTAAGGTATGGTATTATAATCATGAATAGAAAAAAATCTATTAAATTGTAAACATTTAAACTATTAGTTTATTTATAACATACATTTATGTATTTACCACACATGCCAAATATGAATAAACAGTAGACATATATAACCATAGAAACAGAATTTAAATACTGAGTTGTTGTTTTCTTTCTTTTTTTTCTTTTTACTCTCGCGCTCTCTCTCTCCCTCCCTCTCCTCCTCTCCCCCCTCTCTCTCTCTTATTCTCCATATAAAAAAATGTAAATACAAAATGTAGACCACACTATTTATGTAACGTTTCAATTAGTTCAATGAATCATTTAATATAGACATGATTGTAGTTTAAGTTTACTCAATTGTATAAAGAAAACAATTTTTTTCATAAAACATTAATTCTTCTCTTTTTTTAATTTTAATTAAGATTCCTAATAGTTGCTAATACAAAATAGAAGTTTAAAAATACTTACCTAAGTGAAGTGTACACACACACACGCACACGCACACATATACATGCACACCAACACAAATTTAACGAGTACATCAATGAATAAACGTCTGGTTTATCTGTTTTATTGATTTTAAAGAACATTATTTAAAGCAATTAGTCCATTTGTAGCGACCGAACAGCCAATATTCGGTTGGAACAACGGACTGACGAACCCTCTGTATAGCTCACAACGCGTTTTTGAGATACTCGTATTATATTATATCAAAACACAAACTTTGTGCTCAATATAAACGGTTCTAATTTAGAAAACAACAAATTATATCAAAAGTACAAAATACCTCAAACTGTATAGCCTGTGCTATACAGTCAGAAGTTTCTCTAACGCAAAGTAGCGCACTGAACAATGAAAGAAACAGTTAATACTAAACGGTTTGATACCTGAGAATCAACAAAAATATTCCAACAAGATGGGATCAAATATCTACCGGCAGGGATTCCAGCAATCCTCCCAAGCAGACAGTCAAACGGTTAATAGTCACGCACTGAACCACGCTGTGACCTTGAGCTTAGTCAAACACGACATTACTGTCAATAGTCCGGCAATATGCAATAGAAAATTAGGTAACAAAGGATAAGTTTTTAATCGAAAAACACATAATAAAGGCTCAAACGGGGAAGACTGAAGAAAAAAAGATATGGTTAAACGAGATGTGAACAAAGGTTAAAATACACAACAGGGAGAGGGAACAAATAAATGACAATACTGTTCAACAAAGAAGCTGCGGAGGGATTTTCACCTTCTCTTTCCGTTACATCCTTTGATAAATTTCGATAATGTAATAAGAAGACGAAGATTATCAGAACTAAGTGATATATTAATGCAATATATTTCGAACAATCTGATCACACATTTACTTGTTAAGAATATTTATATATAGAAATAAAAGGTCAACTAGACTGGGAATGGGTTAAGAGGAGACAAGGAGATGCAATCGTGATCTCAAAATTAGGGTGTGTAAACCTGTACCAAAATATTTGCAGAAACAAATAGAATCAAGTGACCCAATAAGAGTGGAGGATAAATATCCATCATCATCTATTGCTAAACATATAATTGAAACAGGCCATACAATTGATCTTAACTCGGCTTTTGTGGTGCTGCATAATAGTGCAAAAGGGCATATACTAAGGTTTATTGAAGCCTTAGCCATACGAAAATTCAAGCCTCTTTGTATATTCAAAAACAGTTTGTTCTCATCTTAAACCTACCCTGGTAATATTGACTTATTATCCAGGGTGATTAAGTTTCAAATCGTGTTCACATTATTATTATTACTCTTATTATTATCCTTGTCTCCTCTTAACCCATTCCCAGTCTAGTTGACTTTTTATTTTTGTATATAAATGTTCTTAACAAGTATATATGTGATCAGACTATTCGGACTGTATTGCTCTATTATATCACATAGTTCTGATAACATTTGTCTTCTTATTACATTATCGAAAGAACATTCAATAACATTGGCAAAATAAAACACCATAGAGTTGAACGGCGGCCTGTTTGAATATCTGAGCTACCTGTTTCTGCCATCTAATTATTCCAACAAGTTATCTGGTTTTTTTATTAGTTTTAACTTATCATTATGTCCATTAATCGCATAACCTATTCAGGCGCTTTTATGAAAAGCCTACGACCTTTCGCTGCACAAGTTACAAAAAAGTACTATAAAAGACATCGTGGTGGTTGGCAATATGCGTTAAAGAGAATGAACATTAATCGTATGTCGATTCCCAAGCTGCTAAATTCTAACTGCCGATCACTAATCAACAAAGTGGACTATCTGCAATTCCTACTAAGTCAAAATATGTATCGTAATTGTGGTGTCATCACAATTCAAGAATCTTGGTTAAATGATTTACAGGACGACTGCCTTGTATCACTACGTGATTTCAAAATTTATCGTCAGGATCGATCAAACAATAAAAAGAGGTGTGGTGGCGGTGTAGCTACGTTTGTAAACATAAACTGGTGTCGATCTTCGTTTGTGTGTTTTAAGTTTTCAAATGACTTTATCGACTGTCTAACTCTAAGATGTCGTCCAAAACATCTGAATAAATACAAATATGTTTATGTTACCAATATCTACGTGACTCCAGATTGCACATCATCTGCACTATCTGTTTTTGCTGATGAATTCACTGAGTTCGCTGTTACTGCCTTCAGTGATTCACTTTCAGTTGTATGTGGTGATTTCAATTCATGTGACTGTAGCTTCCTTACGTCACTAGGTCACCAAAATGTAGTAGATTTTCCTACCCGTTTGGATGCTCATTTAGACTTCGTTTTCATTAATGATGTGGGTATATATGCGACTCGTAAACGTGCTCCATTGTCTAGCTCGGATCACTGTATAATTCGTGTTCTACCTAAAGTATATGGAAAGCATGGGAAGAGTACACTCTTACATCAAACCAAGAAAGTCAAATATAGGAATTACTCAGAAGAAAATATCCGAAATCTGAAAAACATGTTTCATACGACTAACTGGGAATTATTTACAGATGACTCACTCGAAAACACTACTGATGTTATCACTTGTTACCTTAAATTCTGTTTTGATATTTGTTGTCCCACTGAAACCATTTTTGTAAGTTTTGATCGACTTACATCTTCACAACTAAAACGACTACGGAGGATGAAAGAAAGAATGTACAAGGAGAAGAACTCAAATGAAGTTCGTAAGCTAAATGGTCTGATAAACCTAGAGATTAGACGTCTCAACTGTATGTTTACTCAAAAACTCTTATCTTGCAAAAACTCTCCAAGTATGTGGAAATTTTTTAAAGAACTTACAGGTGACAGAAAGTTTAGAAGCGATAACCAGCTGAATGTTTGTGACTTAAATAAGTCTTTTGTACGTCAGTCATCTGATGTGATGCTCCCTCTATCCACGGGTTTAAAAATAGCTGTGTTCCTACTTTCACTGAAACTGATGTACGAGGATGTCTCCAGTCGCTTAATTCATCTCGATGTTTGGGACCTGATGGTATCCCAAACATCCTTTTTAAAAATGTGCTGACGTCCTATGTTATTCATTCATGACTATTTTAACAGATCCTTCTCATCTAATCTCATACCGAGAATGGGGAGAAAGATCAAGATAATCCCTGTACTCAAGTAAGCGTCTGCTGATAAAAATGTGAAATTTAGACAAGGAGCTGTTCGTTCACCTCTTCTATTCTCTTTTTTTCTGCATGATCTGCCATCTTCCACAGAAAACACTTTTGTGAAATATGCGGATGATCTCACTGTATGTATGCCTATCTTTTTCTCTTTACATCCCATAGAAATGAATGAGTTTTTGTCTCGTATTGATTGTTGGTCTGTTGGTAATGGTCTCATACTTAATCCGTCTAAATGTCAAGCTGTCAACTTTAGCATGAGACATGAACGGAATCTAAACACTATTTTGAGATCCCATAATGCTTGTGCGATTTGAGACTCTTTAATGAAAACAATGTCGAAGGTCAATTATCTTGGTGTTACCTTTTCCTCTGATCTCTCTTGGTCTTCCCACGTTTTATTGCTATCAAAGAAGGTTTTCCGTCTGACTTACTACATAAAAAGATTGCATGCTCTTGGGATTACTCGTTGTTTACTCTTATAATTTGTCAATTCTTGTATATTACCTATTATTCTTTACTGTTCTCCATTATTCTTTCCCGGGCTTTTGAGAAAAGACTTTGCCGTATTGCGGAGAGTGCTGAAGGCAGTTAGCAAGATGTGTGGTGAATCTTTCTCAGTCCTAATTAATATGGTTTTGGATAGACATCTAAAGTCATGCAAACTCCAGGCAGGTGTTATTTTATCAGATACTAACCATCCCCTTCACTCTTATCTTTCTCCTTGTATATCTTCTGGTAGAACGAGATGTAATTACATTAAAATCCATGCACTCAAGCAAAAGTATAAAAGTTCTATAATATCTTACCTAGCAAAAATACTCTGTGACGAACAGGTTGTTAGAGTTAACCTAGTCAATAACCTGCATTCTTAACATGTCTCTAATTTGAAAAGTTGTACAGTTTTTCGGTTTTTTAAACCTTTTTTATTCCTTTTTTTGTCTTTGTTACTGTTTTTTGAGTAACTTACAACGCTAAGAGAAACGAAACGATCTTTGAAATCTCAACACTCACTACCCGTCTTTACAGTCTCAGACTTTAAAACTGAGCTATTCGGACGGTTGATGACTTTCTGTAGCATTGAGTCATGTACAGCTGTTTGATTACTAAGTAATGACTTAAAGGAGTATTTGTGAAAAGAAATTATACAGGGTTTACATAATACATATATATAGCCTTCGATCATCAGTTTGCATCTCGTGATGTGTTCTGCATTCTGAACTGCCTTTTCGTCTGGTCATCAATTATTTTGCGTATACCATGCTTTCGACGTGCTAAAACTCTTCACTCGGTTTGACGACTGTGATAACTTCGAGGTCACTCTCTGCAACATACTACTGACAAGGACTCTTGTGATGAGCGTCCACTGCACTACTACCCCCAAATACCTGACATCTTAGAGTGGCGGATGCGATAATGAATTACCCAATCTAGTGCTTATATGGAAAGGTGGTTGACAGAATTCCATCAGGACTAATGAACTAGACAAACTCCTATCTGATAACTACTCAGCGATCAATCAGCTGTGCAGGTTTATTGGCATTAATATTAAAGTGTATTTATGTAA